AAGCATTTAGTTGACAGGTTGAGTGAAGACAAGTGAGAGGTACTGTTGGATCACTGCCTTGATGGCAGAGAGGGGAGCTGTGTTGGGTGAGCGATGGCAGGCCAGTGTGGCTCTGCTCACCCTCCCTGCCTCCAGTTCACACTCAGGTTCTTCCTAGATCAGAGGACATGTAATGTTAGAGCTAGACAACCCTTAATGACCATATGTTCCATCTTCCTCATTTCTGAGGTACAAAAATCTGACCTGCACAAGGAATAAAGAAAATATCCTGCTCTGTAGTCATGGTTTAAAGCTGTTTTTGCTATTCATGTTACATTCTTTCATATTTTTTTTTAAAAAACTCAGGTAAAGTGTATGTGTGTGTGTGTGTGTGTGTTACATAGATAAGGACTAGGAAAACGATGAAATTTGTTATGATTAGAATAGCAGAATACTATTATTTTCAACTGTATTAAAAGCATTTGTTTGAAAGTTACTGATAAGATTCTCTCCACAAACATACTCTGAATTCAGTAGAGATTGTTTCTCTTCATTTTCATACAGATTTATAATTTTTAAATTCCTTAAGGTTTTTCCCAGGGAGTTTCCACAAACAGCAAACAACATCTTTTAAAAGCAATGAATATGGGGCTTCCCTGGTGGCGCAGTGGTTGAGAGTCCTCCTGCCGATGCAGGGGACACAGGTTCGTGCCCTGGTCCAGGAAGATCCCACATGCCGCAGAGCGGCTGGGCCCGTGAGCCATGGCCACTGAGCCTGCGCGTCCAGAGCCTGTGCTCCGCAACGGGAGAGGCCACAACAGCTAGAGGCCCGCATACCACACACACACACACAAAAACAATGAATATGGAATGAACGTGAAGGTTTCTGTCCCACGTACCCTTCCCCATTTATGTGAACCTCCAGGAACGTAGAGCTGGCTGAACTCACCCTGTGAGCTGACAGGCACAGTTCTGACCACCTGAGGCCAACCCCCACTCGGTGACCTGGCATCCAGCACTGAAATCCATAGGAGAGCCTCACCATTAGCAGTTGCATCTCCTCATTTGCTGGGACATCCCTTGAGGCTCCCCTGCGACACAGAAGTCCCAGTGACAGTCACTCACAGAGGGCCAGCCTCCACCCCTGATGTCTGAATGTTCCTTGTGAAAAACCTGCAACACCCCATCTCTCCAGACTGCTCCCTGTGCTGAATTTCCTTGACCAGTCCCCCTGCCCTTTCACATGTCTAGATGGCCTGATCTCCATTCCTATTGATCAAGATGTAGAGCCATTTGAAAAAATTCTCTGGACCCCTTTCTTAACCCCTCCCACCCCCAGCCTCAGACAATCACTGATCACTTTTCTGTTTCTATAATTTTGCGTTTTTCAGAATGTCATCTAAATGAAAGTATATAATGTGTAGCCTTTGGCTTCTTTCACTTAGGATAATGCATTTGAGAGTCATCTATAAAGTAAGTGGTGAAGGAAGGAACATTAGCCTGAAATAACTTCAGTTATCTAGTTTTTGAGACTTAATAGAGGTAACCTAAAAGAATTAGTTTAAAAAAAAAAGAGGCAAGACAACAACACCAATTTAGTGCTTATTCCAGGGAGAAAGACCTAAAAACTGTAAGTGTGGATGATTTTATAGTAACTAATTAGATTATAGAGATTATAAATATTTATCTGTAGGGGGAAAAACAGTCTCTTCTGCTACTGCTAAAAATCACCTAAAATGTTGGATAAAATACAAGCACATCCGTTCAAATGCATATGCATAGCTGAACCAAGAAGAAATTAACTGAAATTTCCAGGGGCCAAGAATGAAAAAAACAGAATGATAAGTAAGTGCTGAAGTTGCAGCTGCCCTCGAGGTATTGCTAAAACAGAAACGTGGAGCTGCTTGATGGTCGGGAATCAAGGCTTTGGGCCTGAGAAAGTTAGGAGGGCATAGGAGTTGAGATTCCCCACAGAGAGTCAAGACCCTCAAAGCACTTCAGCCAGTAATGGGCTGGCTAAAAAAAAAAAAAGAAAAAAATCTGCTTCCAGCAAAGAGAGACTTCAAGGACAATTGTTTGTGTTGCCCTTGGCTCTGAATGGGGATGAAAAAGACTCCCCTGAGAATTCTACAAGTTTAGGTTTAAATTTACATAACTCACTTGGTCTCAGAAGCCAACAGAAAGAACTTGGAGTACATAGGTGTTGAGAGAGCTCCAGCGCTCCTAGCAGAAGCAAAAGAAAATCCCTATAGAGAACATAGTCTCAACCCAGGTGCTTCAAGACTCCCACAGATTATCAAAGCCAAGCATGAGCCCAAAATCCAGAATTATAAAACGTGAAAAAGTCATTGTGAGTGAGAGTCAGTAGCAAAAGCAACAAAACTGGACTCCTCCACCTCACCCAGAACTTCAGCTATTGGGAATTATCAGACATAGAACAAAACTGTATTTAAAATATTGTAAAGAAATAAAAGATCAAATTAAAAACTTAAATAGGAAACCATTAAAGTTGAAAATGAAAATTTGTCAGAGATTTTAAAAGAACTTATAAGAACAAAATGAATAAGGAAAACAGCATATTAGATGTACCTGATTAGAGAGTTAGTTGAGTTAGAAGATGGCTCTGAAGTAATTACTCAGAATGGAGAACAGAGAGACTAACAGATGGAAAATATGAAAGAACAAGTGAAGACATGGAAAATTTAATAAGATGGTATTACATTGGAGTTATAAAACGACGGAAGAGAGAGAATTGAGCAAAGGCAATATTCGGAAAGTAGTGGCTGAGATCTTCTTCCAGAATTGATGAAAGACATGAAACCTCAAATTCAGGAAACACTATGAATACCAAGCAGGTTAAATCAAAAGAACCCCATACATCGCAAGATATAGCAAACTTTCTGAATTAAAATTTTGTGTGATAATTCAGATGTTTATGTATAAACCAGATAGCACAAATAAGCATTTGATTATTGACTTTATTAACAAGTTTAGTCAGTTTGGGGGAGGGGAAATGTCTTCTTGGTAATTCCTTATATTTAGGTCTATATGTGTTAAATCTAAATGTGATCAACAATCAACTGCAAAAACAAATACAACTTTAAATATTTATAATTCTTCAAAATAGTGAAACCATGCTTCAAGGATGACTTACGGCTTGTTGGAGCTGGAAGGACTGCAGACATAATGTGGTTCATCACTCTTTAACAGAGTCAGGCCTAAAACTTAGATATAGTCTCAGTCTGGCTGGCACTGTCGTTGTGTTTTATCAAAGCTGTATAAAATGGATACCAACGTGTTCACCATGGTTACATACAAACTGTATGTTCAATATAAGTGCAGTTTTTGCCATGAAGTCTACCTATCTCAAACTTTGCATTTGATATTTAGAAACATATTAATGAAAAAAATTTAATAGCGAAAGAGTCTTAGGAAGAGGAAGGAATAATTTGGATAGCCCTGGACCCTATTAAAAGAAAGAAAGAAGAAAAAAAAGAAAACAGAATTTTAAGAATGCCTCCGTTTCCTGTAGACAAATTTCTCTTTGCCAGGTAGAGACATTTAAAACCAAGATACTGATCAGTTTTTTAAAAAACAGCATTACAGCAGCCAGACACTGAACCAATGGGTGAGACCTTCACCTATGAAGATTTAGGGAGAAGGTCTCTTAGATTGGATCTTTGGAGTAATATTTTTCTTCGCTCTTCTCCCTTTTTCTTCCTCTGCCCAAATTCATGACCTACTTTCCTCTTCCTCACTCCCAATCCATCCCCCTCCCCCCACACCATAACAATTTTAAATCAATGCTAAAGAGTAGCTTGAGAAGGGGAAGGGAGAGAATTGTTGGTCACTAGAAAAGATGTTTATTGGCTCATGGCTTGTTTTGTAGCTTCAAGGCTTTTGAAAGAATACCCACTAGCAGGTGCAACGTTTCTTCACATTCTTCTGGGTGCTTAAGAGTCACTGTACTTACTTCATCTTGTAGAAACTCAGGAATCTGTGGGTAAAAGCCTTTAGGAATGACCTGAGAGCTTTGCACATGCAAAACCACTGGGTGGGTTTGAATCTGCTCAACCTGCTAACTGAGCAAACCATTACCTTCTCTGACTTCCACTTCGCTCCCCCTGCTGTTAGACAGAAACAGAGTTATCTTGTCCGAATAGTAAATAGGAGAGTGTGTGAAAAGCGCCTAGGAGAGCGCTTGACACATGTTCACCTACTCATAAATGGTAATCATTATTAGGAAGACTTTAATTATCATTTTTATGTTAACTATTTGGGTTTGATTGCCCTGAGCAGTGAAGTAGAGTTTCCATGGAAAACAAGGCTGGGCTGGACAGTGTGGTCTGCTACCCATTTGAAAGTAGTACCACATGAAAGATTTTACTCCTCTGCTTTTTTGGTAATCTTGAGACACATATTTTCTCTCTGCTGTCGTTTTAAAGGTCATCTTGAATTGATTCAGTCCCATATGGTTTAAGCCTATCCCCTTTGTTAACCTGCGTGTTAATATTATGATTAATATTTGAAAGGGTACTTATTCCAGTAATTTTTTGTTCAATGTAAGAAAATGTAAATTCTTAAAGGAAAAAGTAACTTTAGTAACTAGAGAATTTAATAGTAGATTTATTTTAATTCTCCTGGTTACTTTGTATTAATTTTCCTGTAAATGTATCCAGATGTGTATGCAGTACCTATATTCTATGAACAAATTCTGGCAACTATTTGATAAATTATCTTCTGAAATTTTCTACCTTGGGACCTAATTCTATCCTGAAAATATCAATCCTTTGCTTATAGTAAAATATGTTACATCAGTGAGGAAAGTGAGAGTAAAAGCTGGTTTACAGTAACGGATACTCTAGGAACTAATGTGAATTCTGCTTCTTTTTATTTTCAACAGGCAACTTGTTTTCTTGGCCAGGAATAAATAAATACTGAAAAATTAGGTGAGCCTTATGTCTTACTTAGGGGATTTTCTTGTTTGTTCTGATTTCTCTCTTTTTTGCTTGTGTTTTCAGGCTCAGCTATGTGAATCATGCAGAGGATCTGGCCTCCAAACTCCTACAGTGTTCCCCAAAGAACAGACTGTCAGCACAGGCCGCCTTGAGCCACGAGTATTTTAGTGACCTGCCCCCACGGCTATGGGAACTGACTGATAGTGAGTATGACAAATTCAAAACATCCAATCGAAGCAGGGACATGATTTTAGCATCTATGTGTAATACACATGTAGAGAGGTCCACATGTTTATATGTGCATCTCTCTAATATTACGTATGCTTGTATATGCATTGCGCACGCGCGCGCGTGTGTGTGTGTGTGTGTGTATAGAGAGAGCGAGAGAGAATGGGGGAGGGGGGTAGTGTGTGTGTATATATTTAGTGGAATCCTGCCATTCAATTGCTAGCTTACCAGACACAGGAAGAAAATGGATTCCTTTTTTGCTATCTCTGCTCTGCAGTCAGCAGCTGCATGTCTTTGTATTTGATTATGTGTGTGTCCAAAAAAATGATATGAGCAGTCATAAAGGAAAAGGAAAATATGATTTACATATTTAGTGCCTTATGCATATAGTATTTTTTAGCTGGCTGCAGTACACAGAGTAGGAATGATTCATTTCTATTTGATTCTCAGAGACAATCTTGGTTGTAACAATAACCTTAAAAAGGGCTGCTATGCAGTGAGCTGACGAACAGAGTTGGCAATTGGCTAATGCGCTGAATTGACATGTAAGAACTGAAGACATGTAATTCATTTCAACTACAGATGCTCTTGGTATTCATACAGAGCTCTTCTCTGGATCTTTTAAAACAAAACACATTCCTGGGTGCGTTTTTGTTTTGTTTTTACAAAAGTGTTCATATTTACACAGCCTTTTTCAATTACATTTTAAATATTTGGGGGAGGATTTATGACTGGGAGGATCTCATCTTTCTTCCAAAGTGTGAAACAAAATTCTTGTGAAATTTTGCAAAACACTACTGCAGTAAGAACACTTTTGTTCAATGGTGATACGTTCTTTCCAAATGCCAGTGAAAGATATTTCTCCTCATACTCTTTTCTTTTTGCCTTAAAAATTAATATACTGCATATATGGATGGATATATCATTTTTAATCCTTGTGTACACATCACTTACCATAGACATACATAAAATTTATTTCTTTATTCCCTTAGACTTTTTCCACCCATGATAGCATTGGAGTCTCCTCGACAACAATAACCTTTTACTTTGGAACTAAGTCCCAAGTAACAACTCTTGGGTATTCCTACACTAAATCTTTTCTGATACCTCATATTTAATTCTAATTACTTTTTTTTTTTACTCTAAAGTAACTATAGATATATTAACCCACTACTCCCCCATGCTTTGAAATCTTCTTCAGTATTTCATATATTCCAAGCCCATATTTATCCCATATTCTGCACTACTTCCTTTCTGAAAGTCTACCCACTGACCATTACTACAACTATCCCCATTAAAAAAAAAATTAAAGTTGAAATCCCTATAGAAAAATAATGAATTGGTAACACATCTTCCCGTACTGAAAAAAAAAAAAAAATGATGCCAGTGGACTCATTAGTTTATTGCTCGTCAGACTCAAACATATGGCTTGTTTTCCCATTCAGTATAACTTGCAACTTGATATCACTCCTCCTTGGTGACATCTCAATCCCATCTGACTTGATGATTGAGTTTAAGCCGGGATTTTGATGGTCTATGAATTCTGAATTCTGTAGTAGTACTTTTCTGTTAATATGGACTTATTACCCACTTGGCACTTAGTTTATCAGCCAGTGGTTAAATCCAGTTTCTATCAGTAAGTAAATGCCTACACATTATCACTCGGCAGCAGGCTGCCAATGGAGACAGCCTTGTCCCTGTCATTAACAAGCACAATGTATGCAGAACACCAGAGGGGAATTAAAACCACAAAAAATACCTCAGGGTGGTATTTTTAATATGAGAATTTAATTTGTAATTTCACAGATTAAGAATTTTGGCTGCATTAATCCCTTTATCAGCTCACAGCAGGCTATTTGCAGAAGCATAACCATAAGGCGATATTCATTGGCAGAAACACGTCTTTGCATAACGTTAAACATCAGGAGCAGTGAAACCTTTTGAAGGGGGGAGAATAAAGATGAAAAATCATTATATTTTTAAAGCAAGATTCTGCTAAACGCCTCCGGTAACAATTTTGAGTTACAGAAATGCTATTTCTGTGTCTAGTAGATAATCATTATGAAGCATAAATCCAGTCGCAAGAAAGGACAATCCCAGTATTAAATACCACAGTCATTTCCATTTCGAACAACATGGTAGTTCTTGTAAACATGTTTACACAACAAAGAATTCCTAGGCTTTGGAGACTTTGGGAACTAGTTCTTTTAAGTGAAATGACTGGTTTTGGTGACTCTGTTATCTAGGTTAATATTCTGCAAACTATATTTAAAAGTTCTTGAAATTCTTAAAATTAAATTTTACATTAGTGTGGAGTCTTGTAAAAGTTCACCACCTGGCAAATGGCAGCAGCAGCAGCAGTGCCAGTATCCTCATATGCTTCCTTTTCAAGGAGATTTGGAAAGAGATCCATCTGAAAAGAAGTGTTGCAGAACCAATAAATGGATTGTCTTATCAACCAAGTCATGGTTTCTGTTAATCAGTTTTAGGAGCCTCACATTAATACATAGTCTATTCAGGATGCAGTAACAAAATAACTTAGACCGGGGCTTAAACAACAAACATTTATTTCTCACAGTTCTGAAGGCTGGGAAGTCAAAGATCAAGGTGTCGGCAAAATCAAGTTTCCTGATGAGACAGCCACCTCCCTGTATCTTCACATGGCAGAGAGAGAGGAACAGTGACACCTCTCTCTCCCTCTCTCTCTCTCTCTCTCTCTCTCTCTCTCTCATTTTTTTCATATAAAGCCACTAATTTCATCCTAAGGGCCTCACCTTCATGACTTCATCTAACCCTAAATACTACCCAAAGGCCTCATCTCCAAAAACTATCACATGGGGGGTTAAGGCTTCAGCATATGAATTTTGGAGGGACACAGTTAAGTCCATAGCAGTCACATTCTTAAAGATGGGTCATGGCATTTTTTTTTTTAAAGAATGTCCACAAAGGGAAAATCTTACGCAAGCAGAAAGCAAACCCAGGTAAAAGGAGAAGATTGTAACAAAAGTAAGTTCAAAGTGGGCTCCAGTCTTCTTGGCTACTTTAATATATCAGACCTTTTGAGAAGAGTATCAAGTGTTATTAGAACCTTGGTTACACAGAGCACTGCAGTCATTCCATGAATTCTTATAAAAATGAAGTTGTATGCTGATGCCAGACTGTTATTTGCTTTGGAAGAACATATAACAATATAATATCTTTCTTAATTGTACTAGTCCTTAAAACCTCACCAGTTTACAAAATGCCAAAATTTAGAAGCAATGTATTAGTGTGCCACTGAAGCAGGAATTATAAATTCATCAAGCAAGAATTATGGTACAGTTACCTGGAGATCTGGCGGTTAAAGCTGGCTAATTCTAGTGGCACCCTGTCATTCTCCCTCTATCCCAAAACCCGAACAGCCTTGCCCCACTTCTTCACAAAGATTTAATTGCAGGGAAGTAAATGGAGGGCTGATTTAGAAGAAATTCATTATTTTTCCCAAATACACCAAAGGGCATTCTCCTGTGTATACTATCAAGTTACATAAATTATTGAAGCTGAACCACCCTTGTCAAAGTAAATGAACAAAATACACTTCATAGCGTAGAGTCCTTGATTTTATTACATTCATTTGCTAATTCACAAAACTCAGATCTGCAGTGAAAGAAGGCCAACAAATTGGTGCAGTGTGAAGAGCACTGAACTGGGAATCAGACCACCTGGATTCCAGCTTCAGCTCCGCTGTTAACTAGCTGGGCAGCTTTGGAGAAGTGCCTTAGTTTCTGTGGGTTCCCAATTTCTCATATAGAGACACAGTGATCCCTAAGGACCTTTCAGCTCTAATGTTGGTAGGGTTTCTTATTCCTATATATGTCCTATATATTATCCTAAAGCAACATTATGCCATTAATGGAGCTCCATGCCATCTTTTTAAAAAGAAAACACACCCTGTTCTAACATATTTGCTGCTCTGGTTTCTAGACTTCCATTCTCTCTTGAATCCTTTTGAGCCGAGCTTTTATACCCAAGATTCCACAACTGCTGGTTTTAGTCTCTATCCATTGGTCTTTCCCCAGCCCTCATCTTGATCCGTCAGCATAATTCAACACAATTGACCACTGTCTCCTCGTAGTAACATTTCCTTCACTTGGATTCCAGGACAGGACATTTTCCTTTTGCCTCCCTAAACATTCCTTTTCATACTCCTTTGCAGATTTCTCATCTGCCAGACCTCTCACTCTTAGAGTGCCCTGGGGCTTAATCCTCAGATCTTCCTATCTACATATGCTCCCTAGAGCCTAGATGATCTCATTTAATCTCATGATTTAGATATCATCTGTGTACACTGACAGCTTCCAAATTTCAATCTCCAGTCCCATCTTCCCTGACTCCAGACTTGCATATACCAGCTGACTACTTAACATCTCCATTTGGACGTCTAGTAGGCGTTTCTAACTTCATATTACCAGAACTGAGTTCCTTATCTTTTCCCTTAGACTTGCTCATTTTATAGTCTTCACCTCATTAATAAGGGGCAATGTCATTCTTCCAGTTGTTGGAAGTTACCCTTGACTCCTCTTCTTTTGTCGTACCCAAACCCGGTTCTTCTGTAGACCCTGTTGATGCTACCTTCAAAATAGATCAATAGACCATCATCACTTCTCCACTGCCATCACTGCCTCATGTCACTCACCATCTTCCTTCACCTGTGTTTCTACAATAGCCATCTAACTGTTTTGCCTGCTCCTTCTCTTGCTCCTTAGAGAGGCTTTGCTGTTTCTTCTTTCTTCAGTTCGTGCTTGCTCTTGCTCTAGATATATGCATGACTTGCCCTCTCACCTTTTTGGCTCTCTGCTCAAAGGTACCTTTACCTGGGAAGCCTTCACTGACCTGCTTCCACCCCGGCGCTTCCTGTTTCTCTTCCTGCTTTATTATTCTTCAGAACACTTACAACTAGTTGATATATTCATCTGAGTGTTTATCATCTGTCTCCCCTAAGTGGAATCTACAAAAACCAGGGTTTCTTTTCATTCTGATTGATACACTACAGGATTCTGAAAACCTAGAACAGTGTGGGGCTCAATAAATATTTCTTCAAAGAATGAATGAAAGAATGCACAAAGAAAGGGCAAAATATGTTGTTTCCAAATTCAGGCTTATTGTTCTAGATCAGAGAAGTATGAGAGATCAGCTGAGCTGTGGCTTGGAGGGGAAGGCAGACTATCCTGTCGTATGTGTGTGTAAATCTGTGTGAGTGTGTGTGTGTGTGGCTGTGACGACATTTCAAAGACCAATGCATACCATGATGTTTTATGTGTGGGACATCCAGCATTGCATCTCAGCCTCCAATTTTGAAAGAAAAGATTCTAAATACACCTATAAATATGTAAATGAAAACTTTTCATTCTGTCCACAGTGTCTTCTATTTTTACCGTCCCAAATGTAAGATTGCAACCAGAAGCTGGAGAAAGTATGCGGGCCTTTGGGAAAAACAATAGTTATGGCAAAAGTCTATCAAATAGCAAGCACTGATGCGCACAGCAGTCTCAAGAGAGCACAGGTAAGATGACCTACTTTACTTGGAAAGTAATTGTGAAAAGACATTGAGTCAATCTTTCAAATGAAATATTTCAGACTTATTTTTTCCTAAGTATCTTATGAATCTCTTATGTTTGTTATGGCATTCATTACAGATTCTAGTGAGGCAGAGTGCTGTCAGTCATTTCTGTATTTTTAGGCACTTGCTGGAGTCTAACCACAATGGTCCTTTATTTATGTAGTCATAAGCAAACCATTTTAGTCATAAGCAGATCATTTCACTACTCACCCATCCTTCATAGAGGCTAGAAAATGGTTAACCTCGGAGGATATTTAAGCCACAGACCTGCTTTGTGTGGCCCACACAATTTTTTTCCTTGATTGCTCCCATTTTAAAATGAGGAGATTTTACACAAAGTCTGGGTTTCCGGCTTTTCTTGAGAAATCAGCAGCTTTGGCAACACTAAACTCACATTCCTGCCAGAAGTTTGTGTATGTAACTGAACTGTGGCTGCCTCCTTTGGAAAGGACATGGGCTCCCTAGTTTAGTTTAGTGGCCATTTGGGCCACTTCACTCATTTCTGATTCCTGGGTGGCCCCTAGTACAGACCTTGTTGTGGTGAAGCATTTATTTTATTTTTTTCCTATTCGATTCTTTGGCCTCTGCTATTCTGCAGGTGTAAAGCAGAACCTAAACGAGATAGTCTCTGAGCCTGTCGGCCTGTCCCGGTCATCACACAGGCTTTACAGAAAAAAGCATAAGATGGCAACTTCTGAAAAGGCTGCGTCTTTAGTGCCAGTTGGAAATGTCTGGGTTTTTTGGAAGTTTACGCCTATATGTATCTTTTCATTTAATGCAACATAACTCTGAAGCAAACAGAGAACCAACTTTTTTGTGAGGAAGGCTTTTTATTTGCTAGCCCATATTGTTACTTGCTTGTGTGGCTGTTCAGGAATTAAATGTTCCAGTGAATTGAAAGATACAGACAGCATCGCAAGGGCTCCTCTTCCTTCCTCTCTCTCTTAATGTGAAATGTTAACAGGCTGAACTGTCAGCAGATTACATGTCCACATTGTCTTGTGGGTGATTAGTCAATACATTTGGACTTAGCTTTTGTGTATGCTCAATGTGGAGGTCAATTTTGGCCTCTCAGGAGTATGGTGGTGATTTATGAATGATTGGAGAAAAGATTCCCAGATTGATAAAAGATGGTGTATAAATGCCAGTCGGGAAGTGTTACTAGTAGACTTGCTATTTCATACGTAAGATTCTTCATTCTTCTGGTTATTTCTCCCTATTGGATAAAAAGTTACCCGGAAGCACAACTTTATTCACCCAGTAGCATTTGTACTCTCACTTCAATTGGTCAGACAAAGAGTGGGGCTGAGTTTTTGACCAGTTACCTCCTGGTTCTGAGAATGGTTTTAATTCATGAGGGTTGCAGCAGATGCTATTGAGAGTATTTGACCTGCATTACCATAATGAGAGCCCCTGACTTTATAAATCCCTTAGCCAATTCAGTAGAACAAAACAAAAATTGGACCTTATTTGTGCTGCTGCCTCATACACACATACACACATACACACAAGCAAGCTTGAATTTCCATCGCAGGTCTGTGCCCTTTCTTCTCTGCTCTTTTGAGATCTCTGTGACCTGAGCCTGGCCAGTCAAAACGGCTAGAATGTGTTTCAGGTCAGCTTTTCCGTGTAAATCAAATCATGCTCACTGGATTAAAGAGCTGCTCGGAACTACAGTCATCAGTATTTAAAAGCCTTTACAAAGATGTTTTTTCTTTGTAGTATGTTTTTAAAACTAGATTCAAGGGTATTATCTAGAACCTCTTCCTCTAGAATTATCTAATAATACTAGAAATATGTTCTCTATGAATTTTGTCTTTTTCACATCAACTTTTAAAGCTTTAATATTATTACTGCCTTTGTTGTTTTCTTCAAAATCCAGATACCTCAGTTTGATTCAACATTATATTAAGGAAACATCTAAATTTCTTTTTCTTAGAAAAGCTGCATGGAAGCTGGATTTTAAGAGTTTTCTGTCAGTCAGCAAAAAAGGAAATCATTTTAATTTTTCACCTTTGTAGGATTTTCTTTTAATCAAATGGGTTCATCTTAGAGATGAAATAGCATAGCCTATATATTGGCCTAATACATCCTGCACAGTGGAGCTGATTCTAATCAATAGCTGAATACCAGTGTCTATATTGTAGACATTATAGAGTCAAAAGTCTACATAGGGCTTCCCTGGTGGTGCAGTGGTTGAGAGTCCACCTGCCAATGCAGGGGACACGGGTTCGTGCCCCGGTCCGGGAAGATCCCACATGCCGTGGAGCAGCTGGGCCCGTGAGCCATGGCCGCTGAGCCTGCGCATCCAGAGCCTGTGCTCCACAACAGGAGAGGCCACAACAATGAGAGGCCTGCGTACTGCAAACAAACAAAAAGTCTACATAAGTAAGGGTATTCATAAAGAAAATATGTAATTCCCTAGATTTTGATTTTGTTGTTGATGAATTAATTAACAGTTTAGAACAAGCTGAAGCATCTTAAATTTTCCTCAAATGCCCCAGTTCTTTGTAAAGCAGAGAGATTGGGAAGGAGAGGAAGGGGCAAGAGGTTGAGGGCTCAGAGAGCCTAAGACTGTAACCTAGCATTTTAGCCACCTCTCTCTGGGGAGTTACAGAGGTAAATGTGGAAAATGCATTGTATCACTTCTGGTTTTGAAATGACAGAGGACTGAGTAGAGAGGAGCGTTTCAAGTACTAAGTTTTCTCTTATACCACAATGCCAAATTGTTTCTAAACTTGAATATACTAAGGTCACTTCAGTTATTTAGTTAATAATCCTGGATTTACATAAACTGGCCTTACTGGAAAAGCTAATGAGAAGCATTTTTCTTTGCAACAGAGAGCAATTTTGGTTTCAGAGTCTTGTAACCAAATGAAACGAAAAGAAAACCACATGCACCTAAGTTTAAAAATGCAGCCAATGGATGATCAAGATGCTGTGCTTCCTACAGTTTGTTATCCTCTAAAGATATGAATAGACTACAGATTGCATAGATTGTCCCCACCCTTTTTATCAGCATTAAAGGATAAGACTTTCCTAAAGTCTGAGAGCGCCTTAAATACGCATACAAATTTTCCCTAAGGGAAAGACCGGAAACTATATTGAATATCACATCCATTAGTATCACTTATATTTGTGCACAGTGATACTGAATACACCCCCAGGCTGAGCTTAATTTTCCAGTTATTCTGAATTGAGAGAGGAAGTGCACAGTCACTCTTGTCTGCTCTCCTTTTGCTGAATACAGGGGATAAGAATGGCCTCTAATCTTTTAGACAGATGTTTTATAATTTTCCTGAAATGGTATATGCTCATTATGGAACATCTCTTTTTAATGAACCAATTGGTCTTCAAACCCTATTAAATTCATAATAAATATAGAAATACCTGTCTGGTGCATGCAAAAACTGTATTTGGTTCAAGTGCAAGAAGTTAACTGCATGCATATTTTGGTGACCCTCTCCTTGCTTTCTAGTATATTATCTTTGCTAATCAATGTTATTTAAGTATCATATGAAAATGAAAAAAAAATGTGGTAGACTCTTTCTGTCTGACTCAGTCATCAAGCAATAATTTCCTAAAAGTAGGCTGCCAGGTAAACAGTAGGCTGCATAAATTGCTCAAGAATTTTAATTAAATAAGAGAAAGATTTTTTAAAAAACCGAACTCCAAGCAAAATATAATTCATTGGTGCTTAAGACTCTCTGGCATCGCTAACTGAACGTTCATTAGAGAGGTGTTCACACACCCTGGGGAAGTGGGGGGCAGTGCCAAAACCCCTGGTGAGTTTTTAAAAATCCAGGGTCCTGGGGTCTTCCGCATTTTAAAGAACCCCAAAGGATGTTGATGTAGGTAACCTTTGAACCACATATTATGACCTGTTCGGTAACTATTTAAGAATTGTACATTTATGAAGTAAAATAATCAACTTATTTGGGCTAGGACTGGATAAAGACAAAATAGGAAAAGCCATCCCTTCCTTTCCCTTCCCTTTTTTTTAAGGAAGATTTATATAAAGTTGTGCTGTCCAGCAGGGTAACCACTAGCCACGTGTAGCTATTTTAAGTTCATTTTTAATTAATTAAAATTAAACTAGGGCTTCCCTGGTGGCGCAGTGGTTGAGAGTCTGCCTGCCGATGCAGGGGACATGGGTTCGTGCCCCAGTCCGGGAATATCCCACATGCCGCGGAGCAGCTGGGCCTGTGAGCCATGGCTGCTGAGCCTGCGCGTCCGGAGCCTGTGCTCCGCAACGGGAGAGGCCACAACAGTGAGAGGCCCGCGTACCGCCAAAAAAAAAAAAAAAAAAAAAAACAATTAAACTAAATTACAACCTTGTTCCCCCAGTAGCAGTACACGTTTCAAGTGCTCATTACCCACCATGACTAGTGGCCACCATAGAGACAGGGCAGAGCGAGGACCTTTCCAGCATCACAGAACGTTCTACTGGACAGCACGGGTGAAGAACGTTTCTCCTGCCTGCCTTTGAGGAATCAGGAAAATTGAACTGAATTCAATCAGTAAAAATATGTTTCAGTTCTAGAATATAGCCACTTCAGAGAAGCTCAAAACGTTTGCGGAAGAGAGACACTCAAGTGAGGAAAGAGGCAGGTGGCAAAGTGAGAGGGACAGAGACGGTTGACTGAGAGCCACAGAAAGCGCTGTGTCACAGGGACAGGAGCCATCACGAGGAAGCGGGCGTGGGGATCTTTCGGGGGAAGGAAACATGGTGCGGTTTCCTCAGGGATGGTGGTCTGTGTTGAGATTGCTCAGGGAAGTAAGGAAGAACAGGTGGACAGTCCTTAGACTTCTTAAAGCTGCATGGCAGGCCTCACAAATCCTGAATGGCCGTCAGGATCCACAGGAGCTTTGGTTTGTCTGCTGTCAAACTCAACCGCCATCTCAACTCTGGTACCTGCCCCTGGAGAAACAGCGCCCTCTAG